GTCGTGACATGACTGAAGCGACTTAGCAGCAGCAGCAGTATTACAGATAGGGAAACCAGGGCCAGGGAGGCAGGGTGCTTTGCCTAATAACACAAGGGAAGGGTCAAAAGCGAGGTTCTGCATCTCTGGGCTCCCAGGCCCCTCTCTGTGGTCACCCCTCTTCCCTCTCTAATCTCCTGGCCTCCCCTTCAGAATTATCCTGCGTATTCTTCAATTCTGCCCACCACTGTGTTCACAAGGACAGAGTCCCAGCTAGAAGACCCAGGTTCCAAGACTGGCTCAGCCCCAGACTCCAAATGTCAAGTCAGTTTTACTTTTCTACCTCTAGAAGACAGCCTCTGATAACTCCAACCTCACTGGGTGGCTATGCAAATTAGATGAGGTCACAAGGTCACCCTGATTGATAGAAGGTACCTACAGCAGAATTTCCTTGTACTCTTCAGTTCCCACTGCTGGCAGGATCTGTCCCACTCTCATCCCCCTGCCCACTCCCTGTGCTCAGCCAAGGGACCTTCCCTAAATGAAGAAGCTCAGAGCAGAGACAAAACTCATTTTACAGACAGGGAGACTGAGGCTTAGAGACGCCAAGCAGCTTATCGAGTCTTGCTGCCTGGTTAGGACCTGGGTGTCTCCCAACCCAGAGTATTCACAACGCCCTCTCTAACTCTAAAAGAGTTTCCCACCTCCCCCGCCACTCCCGGAGCTGCTCCCAAATAGCACAAGCCCCTGCGTTCCGAAAGGGCCGTTAACCCTTTGCTGTCCGGAGCGATCCTTGGCCTCGGGGCCGAGATGAATTTGGAAGGGGGGACAGGAAAGGAATGATCTTGAGCTCGGCCTAGACGCGCCCTGCCCCCCGAAGATGACACACAGTGACCCCAAAACCCGGTCGCCGCGCCTCACCTGCAGCAGCTGCTCCGATCGCACACTCACTTCCTGCTTCCGGCTCCTCCATTCATTGGGGCTCCGCCAACTCCGCCTCCACCAGCCAATTGCCGAGCCTCGGGGCCCGGACGGGCATCGCCTATAGCCAATAGGAACTCTGAGCCGGGCTCCGCCGGCACACTGGCTCCCCGCCCCCAGGCGCTACGGGGGTGACTAGCGGAATGGCCCCTGCGGCCTTGGCCTTTTGTCCGCAGGCGGTACATGCGCGGGGATTAGAAACTTCCGTGTTCAGCCTGGCCCAGGCCTAGTCCGAACAGACGGCGCAGACAAGGTACCCCGAATCCAGGCGGGGCAGCGTGGCTGTTACGAACGGAGCACCGGCGATAACCCCCGCACAGTCCTGACTCCCGCTCTCCTTTGGAGTTTTTCTGAGTCCCCCGACTTCAGTTTTGGGTATAGGAGCCCGCATCGTTCCTCCGTGGTCTCTAGGACCACGGGTAGTGACGAGACTGCAAAGCCCTCCGTTTAGGAAGTCGAGCCTACAGCCTAGCGGGCTCCAGCCGGGGCTGAGATGGTCCCACCGTGCGGGTCGGGGTGGGGGAGGGGTAGGCGTGGAGAAACGCCCCCAGTGCTGCCCCGTACCCTTTCCAGTTCGCCACGGGCCTGGCCGGGGCAGCAGTTAAATATCTTCGCGTCTGTTTCTTCTGAACAAGGGGCGAGGGGCCTGGTAGTTTCAGGATGCTTGCCAGGTACCAGATGGATGAGAAGGCTGGCCGCGACTCCAAAAGGCTGCCCAGGGCAGAGCCGAACCTGCATGTCTGTTGAAACTCACAGGAGGATGGGCTGGGTCGGGTAATGGCATGTGGAAGTGCCTAGTGCCCGGTCTGGGCCAAGTGGGGAACATTTTGAGGGTCCCAAATCAGAAATGGAGCAGAGCCGGGCCATCTAAGGATGAGACGGGCCTGCGCTGCCTGGTAGCTGTGTGTCCTTGGATGAGTCTCTTTACCTCTCTGAGTCTTGACTTCCTCAGTCAGAAAACCGGGCTAAAAATCCTGGTCTTTACTGAAGGGATGTTGTAAGCTTGAGGGAAGTGTTGACAGTGTTGATGCCCCCTGGTGCTATGCAGAGAAGTGTGGAGGAGAGGGTCTACCCTGAAATCCACACACCCTCCTTGCCAGTTTTTGCCACACCTGTGTCTAGGCCCAGATCAGCTGCTGTCCCCCACCGGCTCCAGTTTCTCATTCACAAAAGGTGCCCAAGGCCCTGTTTGGCACAACAGTGCTAACTGTTGGCACTGATGATGATTATCATGACAGGGAGGAACTCAATAAATTGGTCTATGTCCCTAGAAAATCGCCCCTCTTCTTCCCAGTGCCTCAATGCTTATTATCTTTAAAACGGGTGTAAAGTCCTCCCTGACTCGGGAGAGGCTGACATGCAAACGGATAAACGATGAAGTGCCGTCCATCGCCACCAGTGGGCAGCTCAGGCCAAGGAAAGATCCCATTACTCCTGGGAAACCCCCAGCCAAGCTGCATTTTCATCAAGACAGCTAATAAGAGCACTTCCAAAGCTCTATGCTAGTATCTTGACATGGAGGATCTCATTTAATTCCTGCAAAAAAACCTGAGATAGGATATAATTTTATCTAGGGTACATATCGGGAAACAGAGGCTGATGGAGTCACTGACTTCCCTAAGGCCACCCAGGAAGTCCTCTGGTGTCCCTGAACCAGAGTCTAGCCTTCCACCACATTGTCCCCTCCACCTGCTCCAACACATGTGTGTGCACACATGCACACACACACAGAATCACATGCAACAGTCCACTCACTGAAGTCATAGCCACCCCTAGCCTTGGCTCTTTCCCATGGGAATAAAGAAGAGGTAGGTGAGGAAGTAGTATTAAGTACATCCTATGTTACAGGTGCCCTTCATACATTCACAGCTGCCTGGCAATGGAGGTACAGTTATTCCATTTAACAGTTAAAGAGACTGAGGCTCCAAGAGTTGGAAAGGGGCAGAGCTGTCTGACCCCCTCCACCAACACTGAGTTCTCCCTCTTATGGCACCTGTGCCTTTTACTTGTCTCTGCTAGAGTCTGAGATTCCCTGACAGAAAGGGCATGCAGGTGTTCCCCTGTCTGGTTCCCAACAGAGTGAGAACAGGGAGCTGGGAAGAGCTGGATTCCTACTGCTCTGTGTGTGTGTGTGTGTGTAGGAGTTGCAATGCTCCTATGTCCACCCCAGCATCCTTATTGGGGCTCCCCCGCTGTGGCGGTGTGAAGCAAGAATCTGATCGCACTCTTCTCTCACCACCAGCAAGCGCCCTCTGTCCTCTCAACAGCCCCAGGTCTGGTATCTGTGGCTCCAACCAGCTGTGTGGAAGCGGGCAGGGCCCTCCTTTTGGAATCCCTAAGGCTCTGCCTTCTATTAGGGATGATGTCCAGGTCGAGTTGGTACTCAGAGCCTCTTTTTCAGAATTTCATATTCCCAGAACCTCCATCTACCTAATCTTTCCAGTTTGCTTGTCCCAGGAAAGGTCTGGGGCAACCCCAGTAGCACCCTGAGCTTGCCTGGGCTCTCAGGAGGAGGTAACACTTAGCCCGGATGAATAGGGATCCAGTTCAGATTTGGTCTCCATGGCAACAAAGGCCCACCAGATGCCAGCCCAACATTCCCACCCCTCATTCGTTTCTGCTTCCTCCATACCCAGCTCACTGGTCCTCAAGCGTTTTCCCTGCCACGCCTTGGCCCACGTTGTTCCCCTTACCCGGGCTGCCCTCCCACCCCCTCCCACCCCATCCAAGGAGAGCTGCCCAGTGGCACGGAGGAGAGGGCAGGCTCTGAGGCCAGGCAGGCAGCTGTGGATTAGAATCTGACTTGACCACTTTCTAAACTGTGTGACTTGGATCATGTTCTTTAATCTCCCTGTAAACAGAAATGGTAACACCTCCTTCCCTAGGTCACTGTGAGGATTAAATAAAACCTCTGAGAAGCAGAGCCTGGTGGCTGGGGAGTGCTCAGTGAACGTAGTTATTATCACCATTAGCACAGTGCAGGGCACGCGGTGGGCATTCAGTTGGTGGTAGCCCTTGTGTGACAGCCAACACTCTGGGCCGCGAGTCCTCTCCCTCTCCTCGACCCCTGACTGTCCAGAAATGAGGATCCAAACCTCCACCCAGCATCTTCCCTGTCAGCATGGCCCCAACCTCTTTTCCAGCCTCCTTTCTGCCCCCTGCAGCCCATGCTTCAGCCACTGTGAACCCCTCACCCAGTTCCCTGCATACTTACATCTGAGCCTGTCCTCAGCCCCCTTTCTGCCTCGAGCACCCCCTTTCCTGTAGGGATTCCCAGCAGGCCACTAAGGCAGTGCCCTTAAGCCCCTGCAGTGAAGCCCCTCTCACTTCTCACTTTTCTAGCCACCCGTGAGACCAGCCTCACAACTCCTGATGGCTCTCTGATCCTAGCACACAGGAAGCCATGCTATCATCCAGTAATTGGTCTGTCATTCAGTTACTGGGAACTCTATCAGGCAGGGAACCAGGTCTTTGTCCCCAGATAACACTTGGCAAGGAGGCCAGCCCCCAGTGGGTATCCGCAGATGTCGGTCCCAGCCTGCCGCCCACCTGGCACTCACTCGGGGGCTGGAGGCACTGCACGCACGCGGGACACGCGGATTCTTGAGGGCAGCTGAGCAGCAGGTTTATAGAGGAACCCAGGGCAGCAGCGTCGGGGTGATCATCTGGATCTGGGTTGGCAGGCTCAGGGCACAGCCAGCCTAAGCTGGGGGTCAGGGACCCATGGCCCCTTCATTCCCCCAGGGGCACAGTGTAGGCGGCATGATGTGGGATGCCCCTAGAAGGGCTGGGGCAATAGGGCTAGGCCTCCCTCCATCAGCCCAGGACAGAGTTGGTGCTGAGAGCCCCATCATTCTGTCTGGGGTGAGGGTCCAGGGACCCCCGCTGGAGCCCAAGTTAGGAGGGAAAGGGCACCGCCCACCCAACGCGTCCATCTGGCCTGGCGATGAGCCAGCAGGTAAAGTCTCACATGCAGAGCTCCCTGGAGGTGGGGGACCCAGGCGGGCAGGCAGGCATGGCAGCAAGGGGCCCCAGGGGTCCTAGTCCAGTGGCCCCTGGAAAATGAGGCGGACACAGCCATGCTCGCCGGTGAGCCAGGCCCCACAAAAGGGGCAGGCGGCGTGGAACGCGTGGGTGCCATGGGGCAGTGGCGTCTGAGCCCAGTAGCGGGCAGTCTTCTCAGAGCAGACGTGGCCGCAGGGTGCAAAGGCATGGCTGGGCGGCCCAGGGTCCAGGCAGAGGCCAGCCTCCTGGCCGAGCCACAGGGGCACGTAGGGCCCCACAAGGCGGCAGAGGGGACACTCGCGCTCCTGGGGGCCCCGCTCTCGCCGGCAGCCCCAGCCGTGGTAGCCGTGGACATGGCCGCAGCGGACATACACCCAGGGCTGCTGCTTGTCGGGTGCCGTGCGGCCGCGGGCCGGGCTGGGGAAGGCCAGGGTGCTGAGGCCCACGGGACACTGGGGCCGGGCTGCGTTCGCCTCCTGCCGCTGGGCCTCCAGCTGCTTCAGCGTGGGCGCCCGCAGCAGCCCCGCCGGCGTGCGCCACAGCAGCGTGGCCCCGCACAGGTCGATGAGGGAGCCGTCCTGCAACACGTTGGACTCGTTTTCCACCTGCAGGGGCAGCAGAGGGGCCTTCGTGCCCAAGGGGCTCCTGAACCCCCAGCCATCCGGCCGCCATCACCCCAGTCAAGCCACCCATCCATCCCCCTGAACCTCCCTGGAGGCACCCTGGATGCCCATGGGGCTGGCTGGGGCAGAGGAGGGGGTGGGCTGGGGCAGAGGACCAGGGGAGACTGAGAAGCCCCATGGGCCAGCAGGAAAAGTGGTCCTGGGTAAGCACCATCCCCCCAAAACCAAAACCCAAAAAAGTAGCAGGGACTTTCAGTGGTTAGGGCTCTGCGCTTCCACTGCTGCGGGCCTAGGTTCAATCTCTGATTCTTCTAAGTCTTCTAAGAGTCGATCTTATCTTGCAAGCCAGGCAGCAAGGCCAAAAAAAATAATAATAATCCCAGGCAGGCACCATGCCTTACTCTCAGTGGAACCTGCACCTCGGTCACTTCATCTGTCAAATCAGAAAGCCTGGACTCTGGAGTGGGGCTTCCCTGGTGGTCCAGTGGTTAAGACTCTGTGCTTCCCCTGAAGGGTGTTCGAGCCCTGATTGGGGAACCAAGATCCCACATGCCACATTTTGGCCAAAAACAAGGCCTGGACCAAAATAGAAGTTTTGCCTAAAACATTTTCTCAAGCTCATCTTCCCTGATGGCAGAGACCAGAATTTCCTGTGTCCAAAACACCAGGGACTTAGCCCAAAGCCTAAGTGCTGAGGTTAAAAGCAAGGACTCTGGCGTTAGATAGTCTGGGCATGAATTCTGGTCTCAGTGTTTACTGACTCTGTCTCTCTGGTCAAGCAACTTATCCTCTCCCTGTCTTAATTTCCTTGTCCTCAAGGTGGGTTTTACTTCTCTGTGTAGCAAGTGGTTCTCATGAATCAGTGTGAAAACTTGGAACAGTGCCTGGGACATAGGAGGTGCTCAGTAGCGGGTACCAGTGAGAGGTTCACAAGCCTAATTTTACAAAATAATGTTTCCCCAGATCTCCCAGTGGGATTGATGACTTGGGAAGATAAGCCATGCTTTTCTTTGAGGCTTGGCATCTCTTTGCCCCATGTACTCACAGCTAGGAAAACCTCTACGTGGCCTCTTTGAGGATCTCGGCCATATGACATTGGGCAAGCCCCATCTCTCTCTAGGACTCTCCCAGCTCCCAACATTAGGTTCCCCATCACCTATGTTAGCACTTCTCCGAGGCCCTTTCCTGCTGGGAAAGAATAAAGCTAAACTTGCCTGAACGTGACAGACACGTTAAAAACCACCAACACTTCAGGCTATAAACTGCTCACACACGGGCCAAGTGTCACCCTCATAAGAGGGTGTGAGTTTTTCAGCTGCTGACATCCTCAGAAGCACATGGAGCTGTACCAGGTGCTTGTCCATGCTGCTTCACATGACCCTGTGGGCCTCTGGCAGTATGTGGGCTACATCTGGAGATGCTGGTCTGGTCCCCACTGTGGGGCAAATGGCATGTGCCCCCACACGGAGCCTGTTGGGGCTCCCCTGTGCAGCAGGACTGGAGATCACCTCCTTGCTTGGGCAGGGGGCAGGGCAGATCGGGAGGGCCCCGGGAAGGACGAGGGGATGGGGAGGAGGGTGGACAGGCCACCTACCAGCTTCCCCCGCTGCTGTGCCGAGCGGCTGTCCCTCAGAGTATACACATTCCCACAGACCGAGATCTCCCGCCAGACACCCGGGGCCGAGTCCTCAGAGAAGCCGCCTGCTGGGTGCATCACCAGGACCCCGTTGGTGGTTAAGCCGTCCATCAGCCCGTCGGGGGTCCGCCATTTGGCTGCCCGCTCCTGGGACCACACGTGGGATCAGATCACATCCCTGAGTGGCCCCCAGCAGGCCTCGAGCCAGGAATGCTGCCCCTCTACCCTGGAGCCCAGAGGTGGCCCAGAGAGGACTGGAATTGGCATTGTATGACCTTGGGCATCACCTGACCTCTCTGAGCCTCACTTTGCTCATCTGTTAAGTGGGGGTGCTAATCCCCGCATAGGTGGTGGTTATGATTACTGCAGGCTGGTCCATCACCCCTGGAGGCTGCCCCTCCCCAGCCTACCCCTCGGCTCACTCTCAGATGTAGCACTGGTCCCTGCCTGGGGGGGGGGGGGCTCACTCACTCCAAGGAAGATGTTGCTGGAGGCATCGAAGCCAGCGGCATAGATGCGGGCAGTATAGGGTGGCCGGCGGTCACAGAGGATGCGGCAGGCGTAGCGGGAGATGGTGCTCTGGGCAGAGGGGCCCTCAGCAGCCCCTCCCCCAGGGGACGTGTCTGTCACCACGAAGTCAATCATGTTCTCCGTGGAGCGGCCAATCTGTGAGGGAGAGGAGGGCAAGCACAGGAATGCTGTGTGCGAAGGTCAGTGCCAAGGGCTTCCCACCCCAGGGCTCCCGGAAGCTGTTCTGTGGGCAGGGTGACCCAACGACAGGGAGATGATGCCATCCCAGTTCTCCAGGGTCCATATCCAATCACCGGTGTTTGGGTTTCTCTTTCTCTGTCTCCCCCGCAGTTCTGGGCACTACCCCACTCAATTAAAAACTAGCTGATCTGCAGGACTTCCCTGGTGGTCCAACGGCTAAGTGGTCCAGTCCTCCACACTCCCCAGTGCAAGAGGCCTGGGTTTGACCCCTGGTCAGGGAATTTGATCCCTCATGCTGCAACTAAGACCCAGCACATCCAAATAAATAATTAAAAAAAAAAACAAACTAGTTGATTTACAGATAGAACAGTGAAAGGGTAACTGACACCCATAGCCTGGAAAGGCTCAAATAGTAGTAGAAAATAGTGGATTTGGAGTAAATATTTATTATATATCATGTTAAGCATTTCATGAGCAGATCGCAGTTAACTTTCCCAAGGATGCCATGTGCTGGGACTGTTATGAGCCCCACCTTACAGATGAGGAAACCAAGGCCCAGAGAGGTTAAGGGACTCTTGCCCAAAGTCACCGAGCTCCTAACTGACAGAGCTGGGAGCAGAGGCCAAGCAGTAGGACTCTCACGCCACACTCTGAACCCCTAAACTGTATGTCTCCCACAGCCTGGGCGTCCAGGCTTGGGTATGAATCTTGATCCAGCCACTGACTGGCTATGTGAGTGGGAAGTCAACAGCCCTCCCTCGGGTATCCTGCTTCCTCGTCTGAAGAGTGGTCCGCAGCACTGAGGACCCCAAAGCGCCTGCCCCCTGGCCTTTGGTCCGCCAGCCTCCCCCTGGGACACCTGCAGAGCCGAGCATCCAGGCGTGGGGACCCAGTGGCCAGGAGGCTGGTGGAGGCACCTGAGCCTACCTGGAACATATCTGTGTCGCTGTCATGAGTGTACTCGACTATGACCGAGTGGCTCCGGGACAGTGTGTAGGAGATGCTGTGCTGGCCCCGGTTGCTCAGTGCCTGAGGACAGAAAGGAGAAGTCGTTTCACTGGGGATGTAGCCAGGAGAAGCGTGAGCTTCTGAGACAGAAGCTGGAGCCTGACACCCAGCTGCCACTCCCAGGGAAGGGGCGGTTCCACCGCTTACAGAGGGCGAACTGTCCAGCCAGCCCTTTACACGGGTTATCTTATTTGATCCCCATGTGCACGGTCATCACTCAGTCATGTCAGACTCTTCGCGACCCCATGAACTGTAGACCACCAGGCTCCTCTGTCCATGGGATTTCCCAGGCAAGAATACTAGAGTAGGTTGCCATTTCCTTCTCCAGGGGATCTTCTCCACCCAGGGATGGAACCCGCCTCTTATGTGTCTCTTGCATTGCTGGCGGAGTCTTTTCCACTGAGCCATTGGAGACCCCTATTTGATCCCTACAGCTTCCCAAAGGAGGCATGGTTATTATTCCCATTTTACAGTTGAGGGAAACCACAGCTTAGAGAGGAGAAGAAACTGGTCAGATGTGAAATGACTGGAAGTGGCAGAGCCCAAACTATAACCCCAACCCTCCGAAGCCAAAGGCTTTGCCTTTGTCATTGCTGTGTGATTGTCACATCCCCTCCCAGAGCCTTGGCCTCCTCTAAAATGATGTTGACCACTTCCCTCCAAGGGATGGGATCTAGTGGTCCAGGAAATACTTTGCAAGCTTCGACACACTGCGAGGAGTCTCCCACCAGCCCCATCCTCTGGTTTCCCAGGGCTGTGAGTGAAGACACGTGGGTTTCCCTGCTCTGGCGGGGCCGTGGGCAGGTAGAACTGGGAAGACTGGCCCCCGGGTCTGCTAGGACGAGCTGCTTGCCTTGGAGACGAGCGGCGTTGAGATGTGGTGAATGACATCTGGCTTCACTCCGTTGGCGTGTGGCCGGCGACTCAGGGCCAGGCGGCTTCGGCGGCGGCCCTTGTCCCCATTTGCCAGACACCCATTGTAGCTGTGGATGAGGGGGTTAAGAAGAAAAGGTTGCAAGGAGAGAGAGACTGAAGGTGAGCCCCCGAGAGACTAGGAGGAACCACCAACTTCTGGGCAGATCCTAGAACAAGCCCTAAAAAGCCCTAGTACCACCAGCTAGAAGACCCTACTCTATCAAATTGGTGCCTTGGAGTGAGGTGGCAGGGGGGTGGTGGTCAGAAGATCTTCAAAAGGGTTGTTATTCAGTTAACCAGTGTTTTCTGGACTCCTGAACCATGCCTGGTCAGGCACTAGGTGCTGGTGGGAAACGGTGGCATACCACAGGTCAGTTCTGTGCCCTGTTGTTTGAGGAACCTGGATGCCACCTGCCCTGACCCAGGCACAAGCCAAGTGTGTCCCAGGCCTAGAGACAGGAGAAAGGAATTCTGACTCCAGGAGCAGGTTTCTAAGAGAGGAGACACCTTTACTGGGCCTTGAAGAACTAGAAAGGAGTCACCTTTAGCAAACTGTCATTTATTAGATCACAACTACTACCGGAAACCAGAAAGGAAGTAAAAAAAAGACCCACAAAGCCACTATCTCTACATATCCATACACATCAAATTTCTTCCTTTCCAGCCTTGTCCAGATCATAGAAGGCAAAGATCGGGTGAGTCATAACCTTGATCGCTGCCATGAACTGCAGCCTCCTGTGTTCCTGGTGCTTCACATTATTAATTACCTAATGGAATCTGTGTAATGTCCTGCCAGGCAAGTATCTTTCTTATCTTTCTTCTCATTTTATGAATGACACAAATTGAGGCTCAGCAAGGTAAAATGACTTGCCTGAGGTCCCAGGCTAGGAAGTGGGAAAAGTCTAGATTTGACATCACATCTGTCTGACTCCAGGCTCTTTTGCAGAAGATTCTCGGTAAGGAGGGCTTACCCTGAGCAAAGGCCCTGTGGCGAGCAGAGTTTGGGGAGATAAGAAAGTGATGACTTGGGTGGGAGACTGCAGTTGGGGAAAATGACCTTGGTGGGAGGGCCCTGAACACCAGGGAGAGCATTTTGAACTTTATTCCATAAGCACTGGGGAGCCACAGCAGGTTTGGCAGCAGGAAGTGAAAAGGATGAATAGCTGCCAAAACAGCCAAGGACCACTTGAATCAGAACCTTCTCTGGACCCACAGAGGGAGATTCTGATTCTGTAGGTTTGGGATGAGCTTGTCAGTGGGTAATTTTCAGTGTGCTCTCTGGGTGGCTCTGATGTCCAGCCGATGTGGGGCTTCACTGCTCTGTGCAGAACAGATGGCGCTCAAGAGAGCCTGTCGCCTTAGGTCTGAGCTCTCCCTCATCAGTAGCCTCATTCCCAGCTGTGATTCCAGCTCTTCCTTTGGGACATGAAGCAGTTGCTTTCTTTTTTTTTTTGCAGGGGGCAGTGGGGGAAGTGGGCAGTGCCACGTGACTTGTATGATCTTAATTCTCCAACCAGGGATCAAACCCTGGGCCCTTGGCAGTGAAACCGTGGAGTCCTAACCACTGGACCACCAGGGAATTCCCAAGTGGTTGCTTTTCTAATGCAAACACCCCTGAGAGGGGCATCACTTTTGCCCTTGTAAGCTCTTCCCACATATGGGGGGTAGGGCAGTTCAGGACACAGGCTGAGGGTTCATATGGACCTGACTTAAATCCTGGCTCTTCTGCTTATCATATAACCCCTGCGTGCTAAGTCACTTCAGTCATGTTCGACTCTGTGTGACCCTGTGGACTGTAGCCCGCCAGGTGCCTCTGTCCCTGGGATTCTCCAGGCAAGAGTACTGGAGTGGGTTGCCATGCCCTCCTCCAGGGGATCTTCCCAACCCAGGGATTGAACCCGCGTCTCTTACATCTCCTGCATTGGCAGGCAGGTTCTTTACCACTAGTGCCACCTGGGAAGCCCTATAACCTCTGCAAAATGGGGCTAATTTTTTCAGGATCTACCTCACAGGTTCATTATGAGAGCTAAATAAGATCAAGCATTTTAAGATGCTTAGCACAGAGTTTGCAATATATTTAACAAGGCCTTGATAAATGTTATCTATGATTATTATTACTAAAAAATAAAAATAAAAGCACATGGCATGTACATGTCAACAAACAGTAGCCATTATTATTTCTAAATAGTCATCACAGTGATAACATAGTTTATCAGATACTCTCTTCAGAGGAGAGAGGCCAAAAGGAGGTGCAGAAGGGAGGAAGGAGAGGGATCTGTGCATGGGGCAAGCATCCTGGTCAGGTGAAGGCCAGGAACGGATGAGGTCTACTCAGCCATCAGCTCACGTTGCTTCCTCTCTCCTGGCCTCAGTTTCCTCATCTGTAGCACGAGGGTCAGCTGTCGCTGAGTGAAAGTGCACTAAACCTAGAGTAAGAAAGACCTGGGTCCAAATCCCAGCCCTGCCACTTAAGAGCTGTGTGCCCTTGGGCCAGTCACTTCCTCTCTCTGAGCCTTGGTTTCCTCACCTCCTTCCTAACAGCATCTTTGTGAAGATTGAAATGAAATATGTCCATGAAAGGGCTTGGCACAGGCCTGCCTCCCAGAACACTTGGTGCGGGCCAGGCACTGTGCTACGTGCTTTACAGAAATCACCTCAGTCGTTCCTTCCAACAACCCTCTGAGGTATCATTATTATCATCATCTCTACTGGTAAGTGGGGAAACGGAGGCACAGGGAAGTTAAGTAACTCATGGAGGCAGGATTTGAACCAAGCACTTTTGCTGGCGAACCAGAGTTCATCCCAGACTACACACACGGGGTGCTTTATGAAAGGCAGCTGGCGCTACTTTCTTCCGTGCAGAAACTTAAGTGGGCAGGGTTGTCTCCGTAATTTATGAAAAATAGGAAGATAAAATAACAATTGTGAATTGAAGTGGGCTTGGTCAAATTTGTCTCCCAGCTGGGAAGGTGAGGAGGGACGAACAGCAAAAGGCTGTAAACGGGGAGAGCTGGGACCCTTGGTCTGGCTGTTCTGTGGGGTGCCTGGTGCCCCGCCCCCTCGGACCAGGGAGGCTCACCCCAGAACGATGAGTTCGCCATACTTGATGGGCTCCTCCCCTGGCTGTGCATCTTCACCAGGAGAAGACAGCACACAAGAGCCCTGGTTCCCCGGGTGCTGGAGATCTGAGGTTCGGGGAGACCCCACTTCAGGGTTTCCTTCCAGCACCATTCTGGGCAGAGGGGGAGAAGAGAAAAAGAGCTTTGCAGCCTCCCACCCCAACCCCCCTCAATGCCAGCTTCAGCCTGCTGCAGGCCACCTAGGCTAAGACCAGAGTGACCTTTCACCCACTCTGTTGCTATGGCAACCACTTCACCTCTGCCTCCCCTAAACTGTCAGCGTTGCTGGGATACCAGGGAAGGGAGATGGATGGGGTGGAACCAAGAGGGAGGAGCTGCCCAATCAGAGGGTCAGAATATTTGGCAGAGCCAGAGGGATGGCTCAACTTGGGGTGGCCAGAAGCTTCTTTTTGGCAGGACCTCTGTCTGGGATGTGCTTGGAAGAAAATCACCCCAGGAGTTGGGGGCCCCTACTGCTCATCTTACATTCAGTTCCTGGGTTTGGCTCTCAGCCCCAGGACTTCTGAGGAACCCTTCTGTCAGGTTTTTGGAATCTACCTATCCATCTTAATCTTTCTGCCCCTTTGCTAGTCTAGGCCTCTATCTGTCTGTCTGTTTTCTCAATGACTCTCTGTCCGCGCCGCTGTCCTTTTCGCCACCTTTCTACCCACCCTCCTCCCCACCTCCGCCTGTCTGGGCCCTGCTACCTCTCCACTCACCTGCCTCAGTCTCCCCATCTTGTCCTCACCCTGCGGACAGGGCTCTGGACACCTCCCGGGTGCGCCCCTCTCCCTCCCTCAGGTGTCAGTCTGCAGTCCCCGGGCCGCTCAGGTCTCTGGAGGCCTGTGGGGGCGGCGCTCCCCCCTCCCGCTTGGGCTGCAGCAGAGCCCGTCTCCGCAGGAAGCCTGTTTGGAAAACATCCCCGCGCAGGAGGGACTGCGCCGGGGCAGGCTGGCGCCCCGCGCCCGGGGCGGGCACAATGACAGCCCAGCGACATACGCAGACACAGTCGGCGGCCCCTCCACACAAACACGCGCGCGCACGCACACAGTCCCGCACAACCCGAGCCCCGCGAGCGGTGCCCGGACGGGCGCAGAGCCCACCCTAGACCCGCGACAGCAGGCACGATCGCGCAAACAGCCACAGGCGCCCGCCCTCGAACCGAGTACCCCCCCTCCCCGCCACCCTGACACTCAAACACGCCCCCAGCGTCTGTTGGGGCCCGCCCGGCGAAGCCCCCGCCCCCTCCGCCTCGGCGGGCTCACCTGGCCGCGCTCTGGCTCCCGCTTGGTGCTGCTCCCTCTGCGCCTCGCCCCTGCTCGGCCCAGGGGCCGTTGCGGCGGGATGGGCCCGGCCGGCGGCAGCTCCGCGCTGCCTTGTCACGGGGACACCCGGGGCCGGGGGAGGGGTACGAGCGCAAACAGTCACGCCCCGCCCCCTGTCCCTATGCCCCGCCCCATGGAAGCCCCGCCCCTAGAGACTCCGCCTCTTGCGGCGAAGCTCTGCCCCCGTCGGCGGAGCCCCGCCCTTTCTCAAGAGACCACGCCCCTTATCGAGCCCCTCCGCCTGGGCCCTTGGAAGCCACGCCCACCACTCTGTTCTAGGAACGCTCTCTCCCAACTTCGCGTGATCTGGGGCTCTCAGGTAAGTCTTTGAGACCCCCCTTCTCCAGTTCGGGTTCCCCAGACCCCGCCCTAGTTTCTGGAGGCTCCCGGGTTCTCCTTGAGACCCTGGCGCCCCCTTCCTCATCGCAGTCTAGCACCTTCCCCCACCCTGGGCTGGAGGCCCCTTTCCGCAGCTTAGGCCAGGGACCCTGCACCTCCTGCCTGAGACCCCGCCTTCCAGATGGGGAAACTGCGGAATTAGAGGAAAGAGGCAGGGGCGGGAAGGAGAGAGAGAATGGAAATACTAGAGAAGACGGAGGTACGGGTGTGCATCAGCGGGGCGGCAGAGGAAAGCCTCTGCGTTTGATCTGTCTTCCAGCCCAGCTGGACTACTTTCTCTCTGGGCGACCGCCGGCTGGCTCTGGCCCCCGCCCCCCGCCAGGTGTCCAGGAATGCCTCCCTCCCGCCCGCCAGCTTGCGCACACCACCGGAGGTGCCACAAACGGGATGGAGACCCTCCGGGCCTGGGTTTGCAAGAGACCTCATCTGTTAGTCTGTGGCAGGTGCTATGGGCTGTGCTTTGAACAAAATAAGCCCTTTGGTTCTTGGGAGACAGACAGTATAACCACCCATTTTGCAGATGAGAAAACAGAGATTTAGGAATCTGACTTGGTTCTGGTTATTTTCCCTGAAAGGGACCAAGATTGGATCTCAGCTGTGTGACTCCAGTCTGACTCATAGCTTCTATATACCTTGTTGCTATGACTCGGGACCACAGGATGGAAAGAGGGCACTCAGAGGTGCAGAGCAGGAGAGACCCAGAGATGCATCAGGTACGATCCCTACAGCTCATTATCTCTTGGCCTGTTTGGAACTGTAACTGTTAGGGAAATTAAAATGGAGGAAGTCTTGCTCAGGCTGCAGAAGAAGGAGCGCAGGCCTCTGATACCATGCAGGGCGTGTGGGGCTCCTGGGCACAAGGCCTTTGTGCCTCCCATTTCTTTGATTATAGGGAGCAGCATTTAGTCAGCCTCCATGACCTTTCCTGAGTTCCAACGGCAGATTCAAGCAGTTGTTGGTTAGTGAAGGGAGGGGGTGTGAGACCAAAGAGAAACAAGCAGTCAATAGCAGCCTTGGGGCAGGTTTCCCCATCAAAGGATATGCACAACAATATCTTTGAGCTATTTGGCAGATACTGAAACCTGCTCGGAGAAATTATGGTATGCTCCCTACATAAGACAAGTTAAACCTGAAGGCTGATAATGTTGATGCCTACTTACCTCACCAACCCATCAGAAGAATGTCCATGAGCTGATCACACCCTCTTTTACTGTAAAACTTGTCACTTGGTTTGGAGGGCGGTACCCTGCTCTGTCCCCCTTTGCCTGGCAAAGCAATAAAGCTATCCTTTTCTAGTTCACCCCAAATTCTGAAATTTGATTCTGCATTGGTGTTCACAGAGGCTGAGCTTTCAGCATCATGACCTGCTTCTTAGCTGCTTAGACACTGCCTAGATTCTGTGCCTGCCTGCAAACATAGGAAGTCAGGTGGGCTTTAGATAAGAAAGGGAGTGGGTCTTGGAATTTTTTAAGCCCCTGGAGGTCTGGCCAACCCCCTCAGGGTCTAATGAAATCCTATAATTGGTGAAACAAACAGCATTGGTAAACTGAAAGCAGAGCTTCATTTTTGTGTGCAAACTGATGATGATGTTAGTTTGTGGCCTGGGATTATAAGCAGGAGCCTCCAAACTGCAGTTTGAAGTCTCACCTATGGAGTGCACACACTGCCCTGGATCCTTTCTCAACTGGGACTCCAGATTACTGTTAACAAGCGACTTCCCAGGGCTATTGAAGTCTGAGTGTAGGTTGTCGGCCCAATTTGGTAATGTATACACTATTGCTTCTCTCCATTGTTTCTATTTCTTTTCTTTTAATGGCTGTATATTGAAATTAAGTAAAATAGTCCTCTATTAAATATTGAAATTGTTTATTAGTGTGTAATAAGTGGTTTCTTTTGTTAAAAAAAAAGTGTCATTCAAACCTAAAACAAAAGTAAAACTTTGGGCAAAACAATAACCAAGAGTTAGGGGAAGCCCAGAGGGTGGACCTTTAATTTGCATCTTTAGAGTGCGTGTTTTACTGAAGAAATCAAGGAAAGCTGCACAGAGGAGGCATTCTTTGACCCCCACATCAAGAAAAACAAGTGAAAGTTGGCCCACACACTGTGGAGGAGCATACTTCCTCTCCCTCCCCCCAACTTGTTGTTTATGAAGCTGCCAGTCTTCAAGACTTCTCCTGGGTCTTACCACATCCACACACCCCACTAACTCCTCCATCTAAAAATAGTCCAAGATACCAACTGCTTTGCCAACTGTTCTCGGGCTCCAGCAGCCAGATGAAACGAGAAAGCAGCCGACAGCACACCCTTTGAGGACAAAAGCACCCACTAATCAAAGAGCAACTCCCTGAGAGGCCAGCAGTCCCTGAGCAGGCTGGACTGCTGGGCTCCTGGCAGCAGGTCATGCAAATCCTGCACCACAGGATTGCTCCCATCCCTGATTCCCTACCTGCCTACCAGGTACACATATCTGCAACAGGACATGGGGACACTGGGACAGTCTTACTCCCCTTTGCACTCCCAGCTTCCAGTACATTGCCTGCCAAAGCAGGCCCTCTGTGAACATACACTGAATACAGCCAGGTCACAGAGCCAGACGGGTGTGGAAGTGAGGTTTGACCAGAGCCCCAGTGCTACCACCTGACACCAGATGGCAGGAAGGGCTAAGAGAGGTTCAAAGGCTTTGTCCCAAGAGGAAGCGATTTCTCTTGTGGTCAAGCACTGGGCTGGGAGTTGTATGGTGAGCACAGCCAGGCCAGGAGGGACCTCTGGGATCATGGGATGGGCCTGATTGCAGCATTGCATTTTCCAGGATGGGGAGAGGAAGGGTGAGTTGGAACACCACCAACAGGCATAGATTCTCAAGTCCCAGCCTTGGCTTCTGGCTCTTAAGTCCCAGGCTCTATGCTAAGAACTCCAGCTTCTTAATCTCTCTATGCCTCACTTCCTGTATTTATAAAGTGGAAATAAAAAATAGTACCTACCTGAAGTGGGATAAAAATGGACAATATTGTTTTGAAAATCTTTTCAGCCCCTCCCTTCTCTCCTCAATCTAGATCTTGACCCTACTGCTTTTTTAAAAGGGGACAAAGAAAAGAGCAAAATACAGCCTGCATTTTTTCTTAAAAAAAAAAAAAAGTTTTGTTTGGCTCCACCAGGTCTTAGTTTTAGCAGGCAACTAAAATGGCATAAAGGATACTTCCCTAACCAGGGATTGAACCTAAGACCCCTGCATTGAGAGCACAGAGTCTTAGTCACCAAACCACCAGGGAAGTCCTCTGTATTTCTTCAACTCTTGGGTTCAAGTGCCCAGAGACAGGCATAAACAGTTTTGAAGAATACTTGTGCATCTAGTGGAGAAAGCATGTTGAAAACAAATAAACAAGCCAAC